TGTACCAACCTCAATGACATACAGAGACTGTTCCTTTAAACAACTCTGTCCCTACTTTTCCCTTTTAGTGGTTGTCACAAAATTGTCTTTATATATTATGTGCCCCAAAACATAAACTAATAATTTTTTTAGGTTTATTAATCTCTTTAATTATGTAGAAAAAAACCCACTCACCTATCCATGGGGCCCTCCCTCTTTGCTGCATGCAGTCTCTGGCACCTGAGGTGCATGGCTCATTGCCAGCAACAGGATGCTACTGACAGGTTAAGGGTAAGGGTTAGAAAGGGAGTCAGCATATTTTCAAAAGTACCTTGGAATATGTCTAACTCAGGGTTTCACAGAAGTAGCAAGAATTTACTGAATCCAATAGAGTGGGTAGTATTGTGGATTTATAAGTATAAGGACATGTGGCTGGAGTAACTGAGACAAAAGGAAATGGCCAACTTGGAGAATGAATGAGAACCAGCTCTGATGGGGCAGGAAATGATGGATAGACTCGAGTCAGAGGAGCTCCTGTTTCAGCAGCAACAGCTAATATTCTAGCTGGAGTTGGAAATGCAAGAAAAAGACAGGAGATTAGGAGAACTACAGAGAGCTCAAGAACAATTAAGAACAATTAGAGAAAGAGATGAGTGGGCCGCCTAGAGGGCTCAGTTTGTTAAGTATCCGCATTCAACTCAACTCGGGTCATGATATCAGGGTCCTAGGATCGAGCCCCACATCAACCTCCCTGCTTCTCAGGGGAGTCTGCTGCTCCCTCTTCCTCTGCGCCACCCCCACCATGCTCATGCTCACGCTCTCTCTGTTTGTCTCAAATAAATCTTTAAAAAAAAAAAAGAGAGATGAGAATGAGTATAGAAAATAACAGTGAAGATGTTTCCCATCGGGAGGATACAGCAGCAGTCTTAGGCAAAACACTAGTTGAAATTTGTGTTCTGTATGGGGCAGCTCACTTGAGCAGAATGGAAGAACATGATGAACCAGTGCTATCTGATGTTTCACAAAACATTGATCAAGATTTGTATGATCAACCAACCTAAGAGCAATATTTTTTTCTGCTTGTTTCAAGATTTTAAAAAAAAAAAACTGTAGAAAACAAAAAGTGGAGTTACAAATCATTGTTACAAGAGTGCTCACTTTTTTTTTTTTTTTAAGATTTTATTTATTTATTTGACAGAGAAACGGGGAGCGAGCAGGGGGAGCGGCAGGCAGAGGAAGAAGCAGACTCCCTGAGAACCAGGAAGCCGGATATGGGACTCGATCCTAGGACCCTGAGATCATGACCTGAGCTGAAGGCAGACACTTAACTGACTGAGCCACCCAGGCACCCGTATTCATTGTTTTTATTTGGGGTTTTGTTATTGTTCTCATAGGCTGTCTCTGTGTTAAGGATCAGCCTGAAGGTCTCAGGTCTTTTCTGGGCCTGTGCCCTTCCCTGGACATACACAGTCACTTTATTTTTCCCATCGGTGTTGTAGTCTTTAGTATCTTAATTCCCAAATAAGGGAAAAAGAGAAAAATGAAGGGTTGGAAGAAATGGCTGTTGGCCCTTTAAGTCCTCTGGAAGTAATTTGGCTGGAGGAAGAGGGGCTTGTAGCAGTGGGGGGAGGTGCAGTAACAATGGCCATCCTGCTCATCTATACCTCTGTGAAGCGAAGCAGCAATCAGTGATGAGAGCACAGATCCCTGACATTTGGAGGATGAGGCCCTTTTTGTCTGCTCTTATTCCCACAAGCTGTATATGCGCTCCTCCAGGATCGTGTGCACAGCTGCCTGCCCCTTGAGAAGGGGTGGGGGGAATGGGTAATTGTTAAGAGCCGAAATTAACCAAAATTAACCAGAGTTTACCATCCAAGGCTTCAGTAGGCTTTAGATTTCCAATAATTATATCAGGCAGATTCTGCCATTGCAGTTGTTGTCTAGGTGGGCCTACATATTTCAGGTGCTTCCTACTCTTCCATTTTCCCAGAATCCTCCACCCCTACTCTGATTTTAAGTTCTTGTGATCTTGGGGCACCTGGATGGCTGTCTGTTAGGCACTGGACTCTTGATTTTGGCTCAGGTCTTCATTTCAGGGTAGTGAGATCAAGCCTGTTGGGTTCTCTCCCTCTCTCCCTTCCTCCCCGCCCCTTCCCTAAAAATAAATAAAGTTCTTGTGGTCTTGAGGTGCTTTATGACTGTATGTTACAATCATTTGTCTCCACTCCCACTAACTAACACAAAGTGCCAAACCCTGCTTTATTTCATTTTGAAACTATTTTAGAGATCTTTCCTTATTAGTTTATGTAGATCTGCAACATCCTTTTCTCTTTTAATAATTTTCCACCACTCAAAATGAATTTAACACAGTCACATCTGCTTCCAATTTTTTTTTTTTTTTTTTTGTCAGAGTGAGCACAGGCAGACAGAGTGGCAGGCAGAGGCAGAGGGAGAAGCAGGCTTCCTGCTGAGCAAGGAGCCCGATGCGGGACTCGATCCCAGGATGCTGGGATCATGACCTGAGCCAAAGGCAGCCGCTTAACCAACTGAGCCACTCAGGTGTCCCCCGATTTTTTTAATAATAACATAAATTAAGCTCACATCACCTATAACCACATCTTCCCTCCTCTCACAGTCCCCTTGCCAAAGACAAATCACTATGTCCTAGGCTACTTCCTATACTACTTAACACACCCACAAGACTAACACTGTTTAATGCAAGTATAAGACACTGCCAGTCTACTTTCCACATACATACACAGCACTGTATAGGATACATACGCAGAATACCATGTATTGTTACCTACATGTCTGTGAGAGTCACAGTATATAGAAATTTCTACATGCATAGTATCACAAAGCTGGTAAGATATTTGGCTCTGGAGCCAGGCTGACTAAGTTTGGTTTCTAGCTTTTCATCTTAACCTTAAGCTAGTTAGCCTCTCTGTACTTCTGTTTGTTCATCTCTAAAATAAGACAAATAAAAGGACTTACCTCATAGAGTTCTTACAGAGATTAAATGAGACATTCTCTGTATAGTACTTAAAATGCAAACTACTCGACAGATGTTACCATGGTGATTTTGATCTTCTCTCTTTAACTGTTATTTGGTATTCCTTTGTATTAATGAACCGTATCTATTTCCCTCTGGGGAAACATTCAGGTTATTTCTGGTTTTCCACAATTACAAACTGCAGCAGTGTACATATCTCCTTGTATATGGCTGTGAGGTTCACTTGTTGGTTTGGTGGATCTTATATACAGTCGGATAAATTCAGTTGATCTGAAGTAGGCCTGGATATGAATACTTATATTTTCAGGCTCTTGTCACTTAGACCTGGGATATCAAACTATTGCTCTGCAGTGCATACTGAAAAGGGCAGTTGCTGGATTAAAGGGAACAGGCATTTTCAGTTGTCCCAGGTGTGCGTGTGCTTATGTGTGCACACCTTCAATGACACCGTATTAGGTGCTTTTTATCAACATTGTCTCTCGTGGTTTCATTCTGTATTTCACTTAACTTAGGCTGAGCATCTTTTCATTTGTTGTGAACTGTAACTTTCTTAGTGCAATTTTAATTTGGGTTTATACTACTAAAAATCTCTTTTCCACATTATGTAGTTCTGCAAGTTATAGTATGTTGCAAGAAACGGTGGTCCATATCAATCTTTATTTTAGGGTATTTTGATTTATTCCAGGTTGAGAACTGGGGCCCTCTCTTCATTTTCATAGATTATATTGGTTTTGTAATATTGCAGAGTTTGACAGAGACAGTAAAGCTACTTCTAGCCCTGCACTGTCCAAGAGACTACCCACTAGTACATACAACCATTAGATACTTGAGTGTGACCAATCTAAAGTGAGGTGTGCTGTGAATATATAAAGTAGGTTTCAGTGATTTACTACAAAAAAGAATGTGATGTATTCCATTAATAACTTCTTAATATTACATAATGAAATGATAATATTTTGAGTATGTTGGGTTAAATAAAATATTAAAATTTCACCTGTTTTCTTTTTTGACGTGGTTACTAGAAAATTTGAAATAACATATATAGCGTGCATTTTATATCTTTTAGACAGTGCTACTCTAGGTTGACTTTATAGATACCTTGCATACGTTCTAGAACTATGGTGGCAGGTGGGTAACATGCATACCTTGTACAAAAACTCCCTCTAAACTGCTGGTTTTGAAACTGAAGTTCATGAAAGACAGGATGAACAGATAGTCACCAGTTATCAGTCTGCTCACCCTGTGATCCTTCTGATATCCGCACTTGGCAAATATAAACCCCACTGGGAGAGGGGTAATGGGGAGGAATATACTGGTTATTTGACTTTATTTTAAAGTGGCAAGAATTTTTTTTTATCTTTCCCAATACCCCTAATAGTAAGACACCCTACCCTGTATGTAAACTATCAAGGCATGGACCAAGTCTTCTTATTTGTATTTCTGTGTATAATCAGTGCCTATTAAATGCTGATAGATTTGAACTCCACCTTTGGTTCCTAGCAAGAGAATTTCTGAAGCACCATGATGCTTTTGTTCTTTATGATGGGGATTGCTACTGGTCTCTTGTGGTCCATCCTGATAAATACTTGAAATAAGATCCAACTAAGATAGTGATAGACATAGTTTCAATTCCCATGTCAACTGTTAAACAAGGCCATGGAGGTCCAAAGGACTTTTGAGACAGTTTAGAAACTGGAACTGTGGGAAAGTTCCCCAGACCTCCTGCATGGATCTGCACCTGTAATTCTCGCCGGTGTGCTTCCGGAAGCATTTCCCATCGTAACCCTGGCAGCCCCATTACTGACCTGAATATAGGACTCAGGAAAGAGAACATCACACTTCTCTAATCCTCAGGAGTAAAGCTCAGAGGAGCTAGCTGTCTTTTTGGAAAGTGGAGAATAGAAGCAACAGTCATTGAGTGATAATTAGTAAACCATACCTAAGAAGAGGCTTAAGGTTTCTCAGTTTGAACTATTACTTACGAAGACTTCCTTTTCTTTCTCTTTAGGGGCAAGCTGTGTGTGATTGACTGGAAGACATCGGAGAAACCGAAACCTTACATTCGAAATACATTTGACAACCCGCTGCAGGTTGTGGCCTATGTTGGTGCCATAAATAATGATGCCAACTATAGCTTTCAGGTTGGGACACTGAGCCTCTACTTACATAAAGCCTTGTTCGATGCTTATTCATGGCTACTTAACTCCTCGTGATTTTTATTCTGTTTGTGTCCCATTGTTCACTCTGTTCCTTGTCCCTCTACCACCTTAAAAAGCACTTCCCCTGTTCTGAGCTTCTGTCATTGTGAATAGTGCTTTAGTGTTTACAGTCCATTCTTCAATATCTTACTTGTCATCTTTGTGTTCTTACGTATCCTGGTATAATCTTTCACCAACCCCTTTTAGAAACAGGAGTTATTACTGTAGATTGTTTTATTCTGAGTTTGCCCTAGAGCAAAAAGGAAATGAACCTCAACTCTGGTCCTACTGTAGAAATATTGCAACTGCCCTGTGTTTCTTCCTAGGTTCAGTGTGGCTTAATCGTGGTGGCCTACAAAGATGGATCCCCTGCTCACCCACATTTCATGGACACTGAGCTCTGTTCGCAGTACTGGGCCAAGTGGCTTCTTCGACTAGAAGAATATACAAAGAAGGAAAAGAACCAGAATGTTCAGAAACCAGATTAAGGGACAGAATGATGTCTGGGAACATTCAGTGGTTCCTCACAATTTGGGAAGATCTATTGCTGCTTAAGGTAGAGATGCCACAGAATCTGAAAGCTACATAACCCAAGTGGAAGTATTTGTTGAAATCTATAACAACCAAAAAGATCGAAAAGCCAGAGAAATTTGGATGTTAAGGGTTGGACTTGAGCACATAAAAGAAGCACAAGTAAGCATGGTCTATCATTTACCTAGAAAAGCAAAGCAGCATTCTCACCATGTTGGTGGCTCTTGGACTCCCCTCTATAACCTGTTCCTGAGAAGGATGTCCAGTCCTTGAATTGAGATTGGAGGGCTTGAGGCTTGGCATGCAAGAAGTTCCCAGGGTACCCCAGGAGGGAAGGGGTCACAAGCCCCCAGCTATGTGTGGAGGGAGAAATCGCATCGGCCCACTCCTACTGCCAATGTGATTTCCTAAAACTAGTTTTATATGTTGAGGTTTTCTGTATATTTCACTTAGGGGAAAAAAAACTTCCATTTAACATTTTTGAAAAAATTTTTTTTTTTTTTTTTTTTTTTTTTTTTCATATATAATGTGATTCCTTAGCCTCAGGTAAAACATTGCTCTCTGGAAAGATGGAGCATTTTTCACATGGTTGACAATCCTGCTTAACATACCAGTGAATAACCCTTAGGAGTAGCCAGACCCCAGTCTGAGCTTTGTAATTATGGATATTTTAGTAGCTCTGTTCTGGTTGGAGTCAATGAACCATGTACATAAAGAAAAAGTATCATTTGTGAGATTCTTCAGCTAGGGAGAACAGTAATTTTTGTGTGTTTGATAAGTAATAAAAAGTATTAGTTTTCACTGGGATCGGGAAACTTAATAAATAAATGCCCACTATAGCTTTGGGGGAAGGGTCCCTGTTTTATGGAATGGGATAGCATTTAAGTTACATTTGTGGTCTTAAAATAGTATGGTGCTACAGTTTTTTCTTTAATTAGCCATTAATTATAAGAAATAAAATATAACGTGAATAAAGTAATGAGGCTGTTGTTTCAGTTTCTTTTTACTTAGATTAGTGTGTTTATAGAGTAATTTCATAAACCTGGAAATTGTTTAGATTTTGTATTTAGAAGTTCAGAATTCAGCTTTGCCACTGGCCTAGTAGCTTTGGTGTGAATTCTGTTTAAGCACATACAGGAAGGAGGCATCCTCTGCGATGGCCATCTGGCAAGGAAAGTAAGCTTCAGGTAGGAGGAAGGAGGATTGCAGGGGAGCTTTCACTCATACACACCTCTGCATTCTCTTCAAGCAGCAGACATTCACATAGCCTGTCATTTCCAAAGTCAAAAGTCAAGTGAGATCATTAAAAGTTGTAAGAGCATGGGGCACCTGAGTGGCTCAGTGGGTTAAAGCCTCTGCCTTCGGCTTGGGTCATGATCCCGGGATCCTGGTATGGAGCCCCATGTGGGGCTCTCTGCTCAGCAGGGAGTCAGCTTCCTCCTCTCTCTCTGCCTGCCTCCCGACTACTTGTGATCTGTGTCTGTCAAAAAAATAAAATCTTTAAAACAATAAAAAATATAAAAGTTGTAAGAGCAGATTTTTCCCACACTGCTTTAATAAGCCTCCCTCCAGAATTAAGGAGACTAGGCCCAGCAAGACAGCTTTTTTTTTTTTTTTTTTTTTTTTTAAGATTTTATTTGGCACAGGGAGAGATCACAAGTAGGCAGAGAGGCAAGGGGAAGCAGGCTCCCTGCTGAGCAGAGAGCCCAGTGCAGGGCTTGAGCCACCCAGGCACCCAAGACAGCATTTTAATTGTTTCCTAGGGTTCATAGAAATGCACCTTGGACCTGGCGCTTTGCACCAAATCTCCCAAGCTAATGGCATTAAGAGTCCCATGGAAGACCCTCAGAGTCTGACCAGGCAGACAAGGTTGTATGAGAACAAACCAAAGTTAATCCCTGGGCAGACTTCCCAGAAAGACATAAGAACACCAGTGTCTCAGTACAATCCTGATAGTCCTCAGATCTCACCCATTTAAGAAGTCTCAATCCTCTTGAGAGGGAAATGTCAATGAAAAACTATTTTCCTGGCTAAGTCATAGGAGGAGAAAGCCAAATCTGAGTTTCTAAATGAAACAACTTCTTAAGAAGTACCATGTATATCACTAAGTTGTGGATACCACCTGTTTCCCTAAGTGATGTGGCATATTAAAATCCAGTGAAGGGGCGGATAACCCACTGGGTGGCTCAGTGGGTTAAGCCTCTGCCTTCAGCTCCTGTCATGATCCCAGGATCCTGGGATCGAGCCCCACATCAGGCTCCCTGCTCGGCAGGGAGCCTGCTTCCCCCTCTTTTTCTGCCTGCCTCTCTGCTTCCTTGTGATCTCTGTCTGTCAAATGGATAAATAAAATCTTAAAATAAAATCTAGAAGTGAAACACAATTTGTGATGAGGGATTCTCTAAATGAGGATAATTAAAATATATTTTTTTAAATGTTTATTTATTTGAGGGCCGCCTGGGTGGCTCAGTCAGTTAAACGTCTGCCTTCTGCTCAGGTCATGATCCGAGTCCTGGGATGAGTCCTGCATCAGTCAGACTCCTTGCTCAGCAAGAGCGTGCTTCTTTTTCGTGCCACTCTCCCTGCTGTGTGCGCGCTCTCTCTCTCTGACAAATAAAAACCTTTAAAAGGAGCAAGAACACAAGGGAGGGGGGCGGGGAGGCCAGACAGAGAGGGAGAAGATTCCTCAAGTGAGCAGGGAGCCCAATGTGGGGCTTGATCCCAGGACCCCGGGATCAAGAGCTGAGCCCAGGCAGACAGAAGTGTAACTGACTGAGCCACCCAGGTGCCCTAAAATATTTTTTGTGAAGAGCCTCCTTCATAGCATAGGATATAGTATTACAGTCTTGGGCTTTGAGACAATCCATTAGGTTCAGAGCTATTCACATACCCTTTTCCTCTGCAGTTCTACACATTCTTAGTGCATTCAGCCACTGACAAAAGCTCCATGCTGGCTGGCACTAAAAACCAATTTTCAATTTTATACAAAAAAGTTTTATCTTCCCTCTTCCCATCCACTCCCCACCCCCGAGACCTGACCTCTTGCTCAGAGCCATTATCCCCTTTTAATTGGAGAGCATTAACCTCCATAAACCTATTACAGTTCTAGGAAAACTTGTCACCATATGACCCGTGATTTCATATGTGTTGACTCTGGTAAATACAGGAAGAGGGTTAGTTGTAAGTCATTGTGTTTCTAGGTAACGAATTTGCCTACCGGCTTTAAATGGAGTTAGAGAGGGGTAATTTGTTTGAGTCACTGTGTCTTTCCACCTGAGCAATTAAACATTTGATTATAACCTGCCTTCCTCTCCACCACCACCCCCTCGACCCCCCCGCCACGCAAACACACACTCAAGTAAAGCAAAGGAGTAGTTGGAACTTTACTTAAAAAGAAACACTTCAATGGTTTGGAGCTGGTGTCCTAAAGAGACCACTGTCTTAAGTCAGTCACTAAGCACAAGACAACGCTCCCTGCCCCCTCTTCCTTCCCTTCTTTCCAACCTCAGAGGCCTACAGGTTTGTGCTGCTGCAGGAAGTCCGAAGGTATGGAACCTCAAGTGATTTACATTATAGAAGGGAGCTTGAGAAAAGCTCTCTGGGGAGATGCCCTTGATGCAGCAAAAGGTTTGTATGGTTGCTTGACAAGAACAGTTGTCAGGTTTGAGGAACGCATTTGTGAGGATCCAATCATAAAATGATGTTCTGGGGGTGCCTGGGTGGCTCAGTGGATTAGGCCTCTGCCATCAGCTTGGGTCGTGATCTCAGCAGGGAGCCTGCTTCCCCCTCTCTCTCTGCCTGCCTCTCTGCCTACTTGTGATCTCTTTCTCTCTCTCTCTCTGTCAAATAAATAAATAAAATCTTTTTTTTTTTAATTTTATTTATTTGTTTGACAGAGAGATAGACACACCAGGAACACAAGCAGAGGTATTGGGAGAGGGAGAAGCAGGCCTCCCAGAGAACAGGGAGCCTGATGTGGGGCTCGATCCCAGGACCCTGGCATCATAACCTGAGCTGAAGGCAGACGCTTGACAGCTGAGCCACCCAGATGCCCCAATAAACAAAATCTTAAAAAAAAAAAAAAAAAAAAAAAGATACTCTGGATTAGAGTAGGGTTTGAGCTTCTGCCTTTTTGCTCAGGATACAGAAGGAAAGAGAAAATAATAGCACATTACAGATAAGCTTAAAAGTCCTTGTCTTTTGTTTCCCTCCTCAACCCTGACACACCATTATAAATTTGGTATGCATCTTTCTAGTGTATCCTTTAACAGTTTGAATCTCCATGCTGGTCCCCATAATTTGCAGATTTGCTTCCTGTCTTTTTGAGAGTTGCTTGCTTTATCTCCACATTTGTTTTTGCCGAGTTGACCACTTGTAGATCTAGTGCGTGGCGTTACCTGCTCTCCAGTATTCCCTCAGGCTTTCTTGTCTCATCAACAGGGTTAGGCTAGCAGACATTGCGGCAGTGAACACCCTTGTGTGTGCGTGTGTGTGTGTGTGTGTTTCCTAGTGTACACGAGGCACATGCCCTGTACTGGAAGCAGGGCGAGCATTGGAGCTCTGCCACTTACTAGCTCTCTAACCTGAGTCAAGGTGCCTGAACTTTGGGTGCCTGGATGTTCCCTGTGTAAAGGGAGAGGTAAATAACCGTGGCTGCCCACATGGAGTTGGGAGGACTGGATGATGTAAGCACTTAAGGCAAGTCCTGCAGGGCACATAGGTCAAAATAAACATTAGCCATCATCATCTTCAAATCCAGATCAAATCCATGATCAAATCCAGACATGTCGGGGCTGGGTCACATGGTGTGTGCCGCGTGAAAGTGACACTCAAATTCCTCCAAAATAGTGCTATCCATTTATGCTTCCACCAGTGCTTGCTGACATTCACCGCTTTCCCACATAGTCACTAACAAGAGTTTTAAGACTTTTTTTCCCCCTTTTTTTGCCAACATCATGGGGTGAAAACGGTTACTTTTATCTTGAGCAGCAGGATTGCGCGAAAAAAACTTGCTTTAAAACGGGACTGCCATCTAGTGGTGGGAAAAGTAAACTGCACGTATACGGCACAAGCCAAATCTGGAAGTACCTACATGTAGCTTGGGGTACTTTGTCATTAAGGCGGGTCTGGCTGCTTTAATTCCACTGTGTGAGGGTTCTATTATCTTCCCCCATTTTTAAGCAGCTCGTGATTTTCTCCTCATTTTTTCCAGTACGGCAATATGGAGACCCGTCTGCACAACCCTGTGCGTGCGGCCTCACAGCCCAAGGAATCTGGGTCACTGGCTCAGAAAAGAGGAACGAGATAAATTAGGAACAAGACTATTTACAAACTGGCAGGAGACTTTGGCTCCTAGCAGGGCGGGCTTTCCTTGATCGATCCTGACTCCCCAGTGGAGAGGTGGTCAAGTGCCTGCATCAGCCTCATTCCCTCAAACCCCCACAGAGGGCTGAGCAGGGTCCCAATGACCATCCTTCCAAACCCAGG